TAAAACTGGCATTAAACCGGTTAGTTGTCCACCACATTGTTCACTTTACACCTTGCCCGCTTTTCATTTTGATGCGGATGAAAAGTTTCACAAAAGAGCGCACTAAATTCGCACAAAGAGCAGAGCAGGAAAATGTCGCAACGCTTTTAATTATCTTCGAGGCCTTCCAGCAGCTCAATTGAGTTTTTCTTTCAGAGCTGACAAGTTCTTTCTGTCTTCAACTTGCCGCTTAACCGCTTTTGTTGAAGCTTTGAGAGAAGTGCATTGAAGGCAATTAGAATTAAATTAAATTAAATTTTTCGAAATTTTAACACAAAAAAAAACTTAATTTTAGCACACAACTTTTACATAAAAATATATATATGTGTGTTCTATATATATATAAATTAAGACAAAAATACAATACATTCTCTTATATGTAAGGACTTCTAGAAATCCTGCAAAAATTTAACATACGACGTTCAGCATACTAAAAAAGAAATTGCAGAGTTAGAAAGCCTATTTTTGCAAAACTATTTCCTTTCCCCAGAGCAATGCCTTGCATTTTTGGCAACTCCGAAATTCGTATGTTATTGCCTGCGGCACGTAAGCTATGCGCTGCCAACTTTTGCGAAGGCCCAACCATGTGGCAGCAGCCACCAGCAGATGCGAAACAAAACAAATTTGGGCAACACATTTGCCGTAACGGGAGATGCTTCGAGCCGAAATGACATTTAAGTGAATTTGTAGAAGAGTTTTCATCCGTTTCCTGTCAGCAGCAGCTAAATGGCAAGGCAACCGTGGCAGCGGATGTGGATGCAAATAAGCCAAGAAAATTGCTTATAGCCTACTTGTGCATATCTTCCGGGCATTTTTAGTTGAACAACAGCTGCGGCCGGGCGAATGCGCTCTGCTGTCGCAACAAAGCAACAATTTCTGGTCACATACTCACTTGTGGCGAAGAATACTTGGAAGTGCAACCAGAGAACACCGACATGTGCTACCTACCAATAATACAGTTGTGGTGCGGTAATTGGAGTAATTGAGAGACGACTTAGAAGTAAACAAAGAATGTTCTCTCAAAGAAGTCATTTCGCTAACATAATGAAAACCGAATATTCCAAAAAGAAGAATGCCGAAGAGAACTTAGTTTTCAAAGAAAATTTTTTTGTTACTTTTGAAGTTGAAGAAACTGATTTCTGAAACAACTTTCTATAAAATATTGGAACACAAAACAGTCCTAAGTGAACCCAAAAGCTCGAAAAGTCACTTAGTCAATAATGGTTTCCCTTGAGAATTTCTTCTGTAACATTTCTTTATTAAGAGTTAAGTGGATGAAGTCTCGACATGTTCAACTCAGCTGAGAGAGCTTCCAAGCACTTTTGCATGTTTTCAGCAAAGCTTCTTTTCACAATTTTGTCACCAATTACTTTTGCATTTCCATAAATATTACAACAAACATTCTACCTCAGTGGAAATAAAAAAATGAATCTACAATCATTTGTCAAAGCATATAATTAGGCCTAATACACATGGCCAAATGCATTGACATTTCGACAGATTCAATTAACGTGCTAAAATATTTTTTTTCGTTGCCATTTTCACGCTTAATCAATAACAACAACAAGCAGATTATACCATCAGCCGGCATTAGACAACATTAAGCCTTGTTGTTTGTGTGTGTTCTGACGAAAATTGTCGAATATTCGGTGGCCATTGGCGCTCGAAGTCATTTATCAGCGTTATTTTTGCCTGCCGCACACACAAGCAAACGCTTAATTGTGTGTTTTTCTTACTATTGGCATGGTTTAATTGCCATGTGCGTTGTGTTTTTGTATTTTTGGTTATCCGCTAATAATCGTGCACATTAAATGTTTACATATATTTTCGATAAAACTAAATAGTTATTGCTCTTAATATTCGCACTTTCTACTGTGAGGTAATTTTCTGTGAGTTTGTGTGTGTGTGTGTGTGTGTATGATAGCAAATGCCGGATGCTTAATGCGAAATGAAAACAATTAGCTTCCTGTTGCTTTATTTGATAATTTTAATTCGGTTTAATTGTTTTTTCTTTGTGATTGGAGAACTGTTACCTTTATAGAGATATTTAATTTTTAAAAATATTAAAATAATATTTTTTTTTTTGTATGATGCCGCTTTTAAAAATTTTACAGATATTTTTTAAACCATATCGAAGGTGTGCGGCTGAAAAGGTAGTCGCGACTAACGTAATTTAATAACATTATATTTTCAAATACTTTTACTAAAATTATTTAAGTGAGTGTTTGTGGGGCACACATAATCTTTCTTTGAAATTCTCTAGTGTTTGAAGCAACATTTTAACCAATCTGAAATTTTTTAGGCGTAAAATTTTGATAAATCCTTTTAATCACATAAAATTGTTATTTCATTCGCTTTTAAAGCAAGGGAACAAAATTCCATAATTTTCTATCATTTCAAGAGTTTTAAGGACACAGGTCATGTTTTGTGAGGTTTTTTTTATTAAACGTAAAAATTGTGTCAGCGCCGGCAAGAGAGGGCGAAACATTTTGTTCTGCTCTTTCAACCAATTTTTAAAATCAGATTTATATGTGGTATGACTCGCAGCCAGGTAATCTCTACACTAAGAAACAAAAAAATGAAACCTTCGCAGGAAAAGCTTCTGGTACGAGAAATTTTCGTTGGTTCATTGCAAATGAAACTGCTCACCTGAAAATACCGCACATTCTTTGATGCATTTAGAATATAGTTTTTCTCTGAAAAAGGTATAACAATTTCATCTCGAAGTTGTAACGCCCAGCGGAGTCGTCGGAGACGATGTAAAATATATAAATGTGTATAAATAGTCAGCGTGACGAGCTTAGTCGATATAGTCATGACCGTCTGGCAGTTTTTGAGCTTACAATCTGAAGATGTTTCACACTTTATTTTCTTCCGAAGAAGCTGTTTATTTTCAAAACCGCCGATACAAGAATATTATAGCATACATATATAGGTAGGTCGTACAAACTGAACGATCGACGTGAAGTGCTTGGAAGGAATTTTTTTTCATGTGACAAGATATCTTCAAGAATTTCGGCATGCCTAAGAAAACGGTACGATCCCCGAATCCGAAAATCATTCAGACGGGTTTACTATAGCATATAGCTACCATACAAACTGGTGGATCAGAATCAAAATCTTGCGTGGAACTTTAAATTAAATATTTTAAACTCTCCAGAGATGATAAAAAATTATGTCTGAGAGCACCAGTAGTGCTTCAACAGCCAATACCTTCAAAAAAATTAAAAACGATAAAAACTTAAAAACTTTTGCAGTGCAAAAAAAAAGAATTCATCCAAATATTTTCAAAAACAAAATTTTTCATTGAATAATGCATCGCCAAGACTTCTATCCTTGGAGGCATTCGAAAAGTAAATCAATAATTAATGCTTGGTTGGCAGGAATATAGCTTTCTCAAAAAGTTTCTTTTTTTGCTGCTTTCATAGATAGAGATATATTTGAAGGATATTTATGTCATATGTAAAGAAAGTCATTTGATCAGAACTTGCGATATTGTGGCAACTGCATCGGAAAATTTAGAGTTGCCAAAGACTAAACCCTCTGCACTTTCAGAAATAAATTTGAAAAATTCAATGATATTTGAATATCTAAACTATCGATTTACGAAAAAAAAGTCAAATTTTCAGACTGGAATACTATCTTAAGGCGTTACATGGGTTTTCTCGAGTAAAAAGTAACAACAATTTTTCAACAATTTTTTTGTCATATAAAAAGTTAAATATTTTACTAGAATTTTTTATTGAAACAAACATAACATATTCACAAATAAATTCTGAAATTTTTGGAAAAAATATTTTAAACTTGGCCATTCCGCCTTTGTTGGCAAAGATAACTCCTTACAGGATCATCTAAAGTGAAAGAAATACGTGCTTTAGTTAAAACCTTAACTTAGAACTTGGATGCAGGAAAAAATATGAAAATTGGATTTTTGGCAAACATTTTTACTAAAAAACTAGCATTTGCCAAAATTTCGCAACTTTTTTGTTTTTTGAAATAGTTGTAATCGGTAGAAACCTTTCGTCCAAGTCTTTAAGAGTTGTATCTCAAAGACCTGTATAAAATTTTTTGAAGATCGGTTGAACTCATCTCGAGAAATTCTGTCAATCGACTTCGAAAACACAGTTACTCAAGGTTGTATTTCCAAAACACCTACTCTGATCAATATTAAAACTCAGAAAATATTCAAGAGGTGTTATAGAATTTAACAAATTAATAAAAAACTTCAATTTTGTGAAATACGCAAACCCCTCTAACTCCTTAATAAAAATGCAACTTTATTAAACAGTGAGATTTGTTAATAACCAAGTACATTCCAGGAAAATGTTTATCCCGTTCAAACTAATTGCTCTCGACAGCAGCATTTAAATTAAATATTAATTCAGTGCTTCACGCAAAATTAACGCCAACTATCACTGTACAAATATGTAGTAATATTTATGAAAAAGAACAAAACAAAATATAATTTAGAACAAAAAAAAAAAAATTAAAAAGCCAGTGATTTTATTACGGGGATATTGAAGGAACTCAAATTGACAGTTGTCGCAGCACAACAAATAAGTGATGGGAGTCGCTTTGTATTCCAGAGAAATCAAATTTTTTCATTAATTTGCTTTGTCGCAGTGCCGCAATCGTAAATAAGGCAGCGTGTCAAAGTGTCATACCAATATGTGCAAATAGAAATGCAAACAGAGAAAGCCATCCGCATGCGACAGCGCAAATATTTACCAAACCGAACTCCAACAACAACAAAAGCAAATAAGAGCGTTGCCAAAAAGTATAACACAACCGAACAGAGCTTCATATTATTTGGCCATTTCCAGCATTCTTTCGCATTTTTCATTCTGCTGAAGACTTGTGTTTACATTCTGAATATTTTTCCTTCTCTCCTTATTTGTTTGATGTTCATATTTCATTGCATCTAATTTAACAGAAATATATTTGCTCCCTTTTCATTGCAGAACACAACCGACTCGCTTTCAACAGTGTGGGACAGTGAGACGCAATATTTGACAGAAGATATATAGAAGCTGCAGTAATAAGTCAAAGCGACCGCAGAAGCAGTAGAGCATAAAGTGGTCGACCAATCGAGAAGAAACCGTGCAGAGTAAGGAAAAATAGTAAGACTAGCAGGCAAAAGACAACGATTAGGAGCATAGCTAGGCGAAGATGTGGCCGAGAATGGGCACCGCTGGTCTTGCTGCCGGCGTCTTATTGCTGTTGTGCGTCGTTAACAGCGTCAACTCCTTCTCAAGTATGTACGAAATTACGAACTAAATGCGAGTGAAGCACATAAACAGTTTTATAAGTCGTTAAGTGTTCATCTCAGCACCACTGAGTATTTCTTTACATTACAGTTATTTGAGATCTCCTGAAACCAACAAAATTTCATGAGTTTCAGTACAAATTTTTCAATACGTGGTATGCAACATGAGGGAGAGAAGCGCATTTTGAAGTTGTTTTTCGGTAAAAATTATTTTTAAAATGTTCTAAATATCGAAAAATATTTTTTTTATTAATTACTACTGATATTACAAACAAAAATAGTTTTTCAAAATTCAAATGATTTTGAAAATATTTTTGAAAATTAAAAAAAAATATTAAATTAATATATTTTTGGAAAAGAAAAAAATATTGTATAACTTAAATAGTTTGACAAATGATTCTGAAAAAAATTTTGAAAATTAATTTAAATATATTTGTGGAAAAGAAATTTTTTTTTTTCGTAATTTTGTATAACTAGAGTAGTCTGAACTAATTTAAACAACTCTTCCGCCGTCTAAATCGCTTCTTCTCCTTACTATTGCTGCATACCAACTCTCCGGAATGTTTAAGTCTTTAAAACTTTCAAAAGTATTTCTCATACGCGTTCAAGGAGTTTACCATTTCTCATGTCTCATCATCATTTAAATGTTCAAATCACCAACAACCACTTCTCACATTTTGCCTGAAATCCTGAAATCCTCAAAACCTTTCCCACAACTCGAGCGTGTAGAACAAACAAAGAACCCTTCAACAGAGTTCCGGTCACGTGCACACAAACACGCAAACCCTTTCTCACATACACACACACTCCCAGCACTTACACACCCCTACGCACACACACTCACAAAAAAGCATATTTCACGCATTTACACATTTTCATCAATTTCCGCAACATTTTGTAAATATTTGAGTAATTTTCACCCGCGTCAATGTTGTCAACATGTCATAATATTATTTATTATCAGCCCATTCGCAATGCTCATCACACTCGGCCCCAAAAACGAGTACACATCCTACACACACAAAACAAACTGCCTTCCCCTGACATTCATCATTCTCTTCGCCCACACACATACTCGTGCAAACACATTTTTTCATCTTTTACTGTCACTCCCATTCTTGAGTTCCTCTTTTACTATTGTGTATTTAATTTTGTCCTTTTATATTTTTCTCTACTTCACTTTTTATTGTATCAATTTTATTTTTGTCCTGCAAATGTTATCAAATCAACAATCACAACAACAACAATGACTGTCTCGTTATAAAAACAACACTCGCCTGCCCACATTGACTTCGTCGGCGTCGGCTTTGTCGCGCCATTGTAGAGTATGGACGCGGCTGCAATGACATTGGCTGTCTGCCCAGTGAGGAGTGCGTCATCACCAGCGACTCGTGTAGCTATACGCAGCGCGAGGGCAAGGACTGCGGCAACTACCCGAAATGTCAGAGGAAATCCGGCTCCAGCTCTTCGTCGTCGGCGCCAGTTAATCCGTCAGGTGATTATAATTTTGTTTTATTTTATTTTTTTTGTTTTATTTTGTTGACGAAGTGATGCTCAATCTTAGTACCTGTAGGTCAACCGCAAGGCATAATTTTGGCTATTTTATTTTATTTTATTTTATTTTTTTGGGAACTAATGAAAGAATTATCTGTTTCACGAAAATCTCAAAAAATAAGTTCGAAAAGATTTAAGGTAAATTTTTAAGTAATAAAAAGTAGTATTCTCGAACTTTGCACCCCAAAGCTAAGATACTTCACGTAGGTAGACCTTAGTATTCTTCCTTCTTCTTCGTCTCACTAAATTAATATCAGTTGGTTCAAATAAAAATAACTTCGAATACTTAAATCAGAAACACAACAATTTCGGTATCTAAAATGTCAAATCTCGAACTAAAGGGTTTTTTCATAGGAACGCTACAAAAGTAGATAGGACAAGTAAACGACGTCATATTTTTCCTCGCTCTTTTGACAATTCTCTTAAGTAAGGTTTTCCACTTCATCACGAAAAGCTCTTTCATCATGGAAATATAAACGATCCAACAAAGAGTCAAATTTATTAATATTTACTACCGAAATTCGGATTCAGGAACCTCAGCGCATCAATTGAAGACACAAATCAGTCACTCACACGTCATTCTAAAGCGTTGGGCTCTCTGTTACGTCGAAGTGGCGAATTCTGTGTAAAGATCTTGGCCTACATCCTTATCCATCCAATTGACGCAAGAATTGAAGTCGCTTGACCACACGAATCGTCGATTGTTCGTGAAATGGGCTGACCAACTACTTGAATATTATCAGAATTTTCATCGAAAAATCATATTCGGCGTTGAGGCTCATTTCTGGCTGAATGGCTTCGTCAATAAGTAAAAATTGCGTTATTGGATAGCCAGCAATGAGTCATCTTTTCATCCCGAAAAAATTACAGTTTGGTGCGCTTTATCGGCCGGGTTCGTCACTGTGCCGTACTTCTTCCGTAATGATTAAGACCGGCACGTTGCTGTTAATGAAATACTATTTCCCTTGATTCTACGTCAAGTCTGTGGCCTATGCCAACAAGTCAACAGCGATTAATGAACTTCGTTCGAATATCGAATGTGGAATTGCAGCAGTATCGGCCAATTTATGCTTGAAAACCGTCGAAAATTGGCTGCAGCGTCTGGACTTGTGCAAACGTGCCTGTGGTGTCCATGCAAACTAAAATGAGTTCCATACATAATGGCATAGAATGTACTTTCACAGGCATAAAGAATTTCGTTGATATCCCAAACCTTAAACAAAATTAAACCTTGAAAAAACTTTTGTAGCGCTCTTATTGAAAGCCCTTTGTAATCAATCACAATCATAGAAGTGTTTTCGAAATTTACTAATATTTTTTCATGCTCACAAGCTCTTCAAAATGCCACAAATGTATGAAAAGCTTTGTTGTGTCTGAATTCCTTTTTTTTAACTTAACTATTTGTGATAACACCGACTTTTTTTTTTTTTTTTTGCAGAACAAGCCATTTTATTCTCAAATACAATATTACCAACATTTATCAAATCAAAAACAGATAATTTTTTTATAGAGTCCCAGAAATTCAGATAAAAAGTTAGAGAATTTTTAGTTTTTAAGGGCTTTAGGAGCTTAATTAGAGCTTCATAGGACACTCACGAAAGCTTTCACAAAAAGCTTAAATCGAAATGGCTAAAAACGCTTGAAATTAATATGGCCAAGCTACATTTAAGAATTGGCCTAAGAACGCTTATAAATTTCACCGCAAAAATGGACACATCACAACACAAAACTCACGAGAATCACGGCAATAACGCTAATTTATTCACTCTGGCATCGTCAAAAGCAAATATTTATTTGGTTATTTCATTATATTTCAACAAGTTGTTGCTTTCTTCAAGAAATTATATTTTTGGTTCGACTATTTGGTTGTATGGATTTTTATTTGCTGCAGTCACTACCCAAGCATTGAAATCATAATCATTAACATTAAGTATATAATAGTATTTGTTGTTGCAACCGATAATAAAAATATGCTTGCACGCCTCAAAGCATGCGTTGTAATATTTGTTGTTGATTACACTTGAAAAATCACTTTTAAAAAATGTTTCTTTTGAGATTTTCTGCATTTTAATTTCTTCCACGCATGTCTCTACTGATCTAAGCTACTTGTCGCCTGCATGAAGCGTAGCACATTTAACAACTAATGTAATCATACATATGTATATATTTTTAGCAACCTCATCTCCTCTAACTGCTCTCAACTAACCAAACGCATTTTGTACTCTTTCTCTCCCTCTCACCGGCTCTCTGGTTGCTGCATAACAAAATCGAAATAAAAAAAAAAATAAAAATCGTAAATAAAAACTCTCATTGCACTCTCCATCGTAACATGTGTTAAATGTTGATGTCGTGCCCAGGATCAAGCTTCAAGCCTGGTCCCGAGCACGCCATCTTCTCATCCGCCTCATCCAACCCCACGCTTAACACACACACATACTACACCGGCAACGGCGGCTCGTCATCGTCCAACGGTGGTAGCAATTCATCGCCCGCTGGCAGTCTTAATAACATAAATAACGGTTATGCCGGCAAGAGTAGCAATAATGTGAACTCAAATTATGGCAACGGTCACGATGGCAGCGGCAATGACAACGGCGCGCCCGGCAATGGCCAAAAGTTACGCCCGAATGGCGGTACCGGTGGCATTGACCCGCACTATGTGTTCGGCGCACCGCAGTCGGTGCCGATCTTACCCAATCTGCCAATTTTTCCCTATAATTCACCCACACAAGCACCATCTTTTCAACAATTTCCCCAACCTAATCATCCAGGTAGCGTACTGAATCCCGGCTACCCGGCCGGACTGCAGCCCGTCAACCCCTACAGTCCGTCGTTCGTGTTCGGCCAGCAGCCCTACTACTCCATGCCAGGCGGCACTGGAGGCCCGCCCGGCGGCAGCAACGGCATACTCGGCGGCAGCGGAGGCGGCTTGGCCCCGCCCAGCGGCTATTACGGCAACAGCAATGTGGGCTATCAAAATCCGAATATGTACAACAAACCACCGCCGCAATATCAGAACCAGAACCCGTACAATCGCCAGACGCAGGGACATCCATCGGGCGCAGCGCACCGAGGCGGTGCGACTAGCTGGCAGACGCTGACCATTGTTGCATGCGGTTACGCTCTATTGACGGCGCTGGTGTCGCAGCGTTTGGCCTGCGGTCGCAGCACGTAATGTTGCATGCGATGTCGTTGTGGCAGCGCTGTTATAGTCTCGCTATCGACGGTCAACGTTTATTAAGTGCTTAATGGGTTAAACAATATTACATTTTAGTTTTCAGTTCGATTCGGTTACCTTTTTGTTGTGTTGCTCTTTCGTTGCTGCAGTTTTAAAATTTCAATTCGAAATCATGATGTGGAAGCATAACGGTGCGGACTATAATAATACCATAAGTAATCAACAATATTTTTTTATTGTATATAATATTTTTAAACAAATTCTAACAGGAAAACTGAAATACTTTGGAAGTCTGCGCCGCAATAGCAGAGATCACATTAAAGTCAAAATTTGATTAAAAAAATTTATATTGCTTCATTTGTGAAATGCGCCTAATTGTAGAAAACTGTGCTCTTATAGCTTTCCAAGTTTTTCTCACTGAATTTCTATCTCACTTTCTTACCATTTTTGAGCGATACAACTCTTTAATTTTTCCTAGTAAATAGAATAAGGCTTTACTCGAATATGGGAAGATTTTTAGCTCAAAAATTATGTTATAAAACCTTTCTAGATTCCTAAATAAATTACTGAAATCCCTTCACAATAATCTAAAATCAGACGCTTATTAATTAACTACTCAAAAATGTATCAAAATTTGTTGTAACAGTCCTTTGTCCTTTCTGACGGTACCTCCGCACTCAACCCTCCAACAAACAGCACCTGATATATAATAAGTACGCGTGTTCCTTTTAATAGACTCTCCTTCGCAAATAATCAATACTCATTCCATACTTTATATTGTCCTTCTACTCCTCTCTCCATTGCAGTTGGTTAAACAAGTTCCAAGGATACTTTTAAGCTCCGTGAAGATAGTGAGTTCGAAAGCGCAATTTTTCTCCCTCTGTCTATCTCAAAGCGCCGTTTAGTGCGATCATCACAGGTTTTGATACCACCGTTAGGCCGGTTCCACTGATTCCAGCAGCTCCTGCTATGAGACCCATGAGGCCTGTAATGCCAGTTAATCCTTTGCCAGCATACAAAAGCTGCCAGCACCTAGATTACCGCCACCTCCTTCACGTCCTTTAAATGGTGGTGGTCAGACGCTTATTGTACAACCAGTGGTCATCTTACCCATCGGTGGCCTGCCTTCTGGGTACAAACCTTCTGGGTACAAACCTGAATATGCAAGGTGGGAATGGAAATTTCGGCGGAGGAATAAAGGGCACTAATGATTATGCTTCCTGGTATGGATACGGTGGTAGGAATAACAAACCAAATGTAACAGGGCTGGCGGTCGAAATGACATTTTTCCCAATAGACAGCAGTTTGGTGGCCCACCGTCAGTTTGGCAGAACGGTGGCACGATGGGTCAACAAAATTTCGGAGGCCGTCCCATGGGCCACGGTCCTGTGTATGATCAATCGTTTTATGCTGGCAATGACTTTCCTCCACCACCATGCAATCGAGTTGGTTCTAACACCGAGAACAATGAAAAGTTAGTTGAACTACAACTGCATGTACTTTTGTCTAAATTTTGCACGAGCATACTTGGATAAATATTGAAAATGTTGCACTTCTCTGAGCTCTTTCATCTTTTGCTTGGAAAATTAATTTTGCGAGAAATTCAAATCTTTTGATTTCGGAATTCGGAATTCGGAAATTTGTTGCTGTTCATGCATTTCTTCTACTTCTAATTAAATTTCTCAAACGTATTTTCTGTTACTGTTATTCAGATTTGCAACATTTTGTTGTTGCTTGAACTCTCGTTTGCTGTTGTGTGGGCG